TCCCGCAAAGAGGCTCCCGCCAGAGCGGACTTTCCGAGGGAAGACCGGTGGAGGGGCCGGAATGAGAGCCGGAATGGAACGGCCTCCGCAGGTTGTGCCCTTTGAGGCCAGGTGACCCCGCGCGCGCCTAATCTCTAGCTCGGCTGCCACCCGGCTTCCTCTAAGTCGTCTTCATTCCAGGCAAATACCCCAGCTGCCTCAACAGTTCCTGAACGGGAGCAGTCAGCTCGGTACTGGGGACACAGGCCCAGAGCTGTACCGCCCTCGACACGGGGTCTGACCAGCCCGGTCCCAGACGGGACTGTGGTTCAGCAGTGTTCCTTGAGGACACGGCTTCATTCTCACTGCCGGCCACACATCACGGGGCGGGGCCGGGGGGGGGGGGGGTCTGACCGAACTTGCGATCGATTCATCCTCACGTCCTTCCCAAGCTGCCGTTAAGGCAGATCTCCCACAGCGAGCCCTCTTGGGTTTTGTTTAGTGGTCTGTTGCCACTGCTGTTGTCGTTTAAGCACGGGACTTCTGATTTTCTTCCAACTAATGCCTCATGACCAGTTCTGCCCAATCATTCCTGCCCACCACACTCTTTTTGGGTCATTCTAGCATCCAACCTATCACGTGACTCCATCTGCTGTGTGTTGTAGGCACAAGCCACGATGACACGACATTCTGGGGTGTCACTACCACGCTGCAGATTTAAACCAAAGACGGCCAGGCACTGGACGCATCCCCCGACGCTCGCCTCCCAGGAAGCCTCTCGACGGCCACCTGCGGCACCGATCCTCTTAACGCCGCAGAAGGTGCTGATTTCTCGCACTGAAGCTAGAACCACAGAAACCTGCCTTCTAAAACCCCAGCGGGTTCTCAGGTGGTGCCACATACAGCCCGCCTCCTACCGACACCAACGTCGAGTCGAACTGCCCGTACGTAGTTTTTACAAACTATAAACACCGGCTCTCTTAATTCATTCTCAATTCTCAATTGATCCTTCGTTCTTTACTTGAATTGTTCAAATAAATGTGATGGCTCTTCTCTCCTGGGAAACAGCAACGGTTCTTGGTCCTTCTAGCATGCAAAATCATCCCGGCCACACGAGAATGGAGAAACCCACGCGCCGACGTCACGCCGCGGACAGCGCCCGCAAGGAGCCCAGGCCGAGGCGCGAGCTCTTTCTCACGAAAACGATGGCAACATTGCGGACTCAAACCTGCAGCAGCCGCGTACCAGCGTGAGCTCCGGGTCCTGCAGCCAGGACGGCAGCGCTGCCGGCTGGCGCATCGCCTGGAACAGCGTGGCCCTCAGCGCACAGTAATTGTCTCCACGGACTCGCCGTATAGAGGTGAACTTCTGCGACACCTCCTCGTAGCCCTGGGTGGAAGCATCAAAGAATTCAAAGTGGGCATTATTGACTTCGGAGGGTAGGGAAAGTTTTATTCCTGTGGGAAAAAACGTGCCCCCCCACCCCCACCCCATTGCCGGAAGAACGAGAACAGGCTGGCGGAGGCCTCCTCGAACTTTTCCCATTCCGGTTTTTATTAATCCGAAGAAATTAACAGATGCTAGTACTGTACAAAACATCAGCATATGTAACAGATCCAACACACGAGAACATATAAATAATATACCAGATATTATGAAAACACTTCCAGCCCCTGGAGCTGGAGTTAGACGTCCCTTTTCTACACAACTGTTGTTGACACTTACTTATTGATAACCAACTTCTGAGGGGTTTAAGCTGTGTTGAAAGGGACCCTAGCTCTAAAGAAGAGATAGGAAATATAGAGATATATTCCTATATTTCCTATAGAGAGATATATTTCCTATAGAGAAATATAGAGAGAAACGTACTAAGTTTCCACCTCCATATTTTAAAAAAGTAAAAAAATCCCTTGGGGCGCCTGGGTGGCTCTGTCGGTTAAGTGTCCGACTCGCTTTCGGCTCGGGTCATGATCTCGCGGTTGTGAGACCGAGCCCTGTGTCAGGCTCTGTGCTGGGCGTGGAGCCTGCTTAAGATTCTCTCTCTCACTCTCCCTCTGCCCCCCTCGCACATGTGCATGCTCTCTCTCTCAAAAAATTAAATTAAAATAAAGTAAAATTAAATTAAATTAAATTAAATTAAATTAAATTAAAATAAAATAAAAATCCCAAGCTTCCATGGTATACTTAAAAAAAGTCCACATGCTAGAAGATATCTGGATAATTCCATTAGACTCTTTAAAAAGTGGATTCAAGTGTCATTCTTATTCAGTCTGGAAGTGAAACGAGGAAATGAAAATGATGAGTGACATACGTGTTCAGTCACTCAAACACAGCCGTCCAAATGGACCATTTTAAAGCCTACTCCAAAAGCAGCCCCCATAAAATGGTCCACAGGCACCGGGCCAAGCTGCTCCTGAGGCTCGAGTGTCAGGATCCACTTTGCTGCCTCCTGCACTTCTCTGGCCTTGTCCTGTGGGCCCTGCTGCCCATCTCACTCGTCCTTGACTGTTGTCACCTGAAGCTCTGCTTCCTCCCCTGCACTTACACAAAAGGAGCATCGCCCTTAACGTGGGGTGGACACCATGCAGACCGTGCCCAAGTACGGGACCCTTGTTATTAGTTTTCAAGGGGCAAGTCACAGGATGATGTTCTAAGTGGGTGTGAAATGATTTCTTTCCAACAATAAAACTTTGAGAGTTGCGTTTTCACTTAGTGGTCCAATCACTGCAACACAGTAAGGGCCCACCGAGCACCTCTTCCCTTCGTTGGACTCCCAGCTATCCCGGAATACTCGCGATGGCTAACTCAGCAGTAACTGCATCTTTCACAAATGCACCAATTACTCGTGCCATTTCAGAGGTGACTCAAACTTCTAAAACTAAATTTGGATTTATACACACTTACTTCCAAAAGAATACCCAAAACAAAAATAAACCGTAAGATAAATAAGGGCAAAAAAAAAGAACCGAGACACCCAACTGTTACCAGGCCCCTGAGATGCTCTAATTACTGCCACGGGTCCCAGAGTGACACTTTTCTAACTGACGTGCCTTTGGTTATTTGGTCACTGAAAGAGTCCAACTACATGGTCAAATCTTTCTCTAGAACTAAAATCACAAAGAAACGATTTTAGCATGAGTTGCAAAATATGGAATATGTGGATACCCTTAATAGATACATTCAATTATGGACCCAGAGGTGCCAATTGTTAGAATAGATCCTTTAAAGAGTCTGAGGTCATGAAATAAAATTGCAAGTCAAGGAAAGCATTTCTGGGGAAGATGAGAAGACATATGTTAGGTATCCAGCCTCCTGGTTGTCTAGTTTGATATGGGGCTGTTTGGAAAACCTCTAAGCGGACAATACACGTATTCGGCAGATGGCCTCACAAATTTAAATGTTCATGGTCCCAGATATTTCATGAGTGAGCTCTCCACCAAGTGCCTGAGACGTGAGGAGTCTACAGTTCAGACTCGCAGGGAGCAGAGCTAAATTTGGCTCTCAGAGCTTTAAAAGTAGCAGCTACATTCTGAGTAAGGTCAGCCCATTGCAGGGCAAGCATGAGCAGCTGAGGTGCGTGTAGAAGAGGCACAATCGTTTCTATACAAACAAGCTCGGGGTGCCTGGGTGGCTCAGTCGGTTGAACGTCTGACTCTTGGTTTCGGCTCAGGTCATGATCCCAGGGTCATGGCATCGGGCACAGTGCCGGGCTCCACAGTGAGCATGGAGCCTCGTTAAGACTCTCTCTCTCTCTCCCTCTGCCCCTCTCCCCCACTCGCACTCTCTAAAATAAAAAATAAATAAATAAAAACAAGATGTAAAGAAAAGAACAGATGTATACAAGTATTTTTAAATTTTAAACCCTAAATAACACAGATCTAAACAACAACAAAAATAGACACTCCTATCAAATATGACAGGTCAAGACCTCTAGTACAGAAGTACATTCAAAGTCATAATGTAAATAATCCCAAGAGAAAAATGACCAAAGGATAAACCCAGAGGTTATAAGAAGGGATGGAAGTTTTAGGTTGAAACTGCTTTAAGTAGCTCAGAAACGGTCAGAGTAGCAATTCCACATCGTTCAACACACTAAGGAATATTGGACTCAGGGTCCATTTGAGGGGAGAACCAACAGGGTGCTGTGGTCGGCCAGTACGCACTGCGGCGGGCCAAGGGTCCAACTGAACAATAACCCAGCCAGTCACAGCAGGACCACGTCATGGGCATCCCAAATGTCTCACAGCCTCAGACACTACCTAGGGGGTATCAATCTATGCAAAGGGACAAGGAGGGGCAGCTCCAGGGACACCTTAAATAAAGGGAGCAGTTCCAGATCCCTTTGCATAAGGAGTGCAGGAGAGCCCAAGCCCCTCAGACAGGAAGGCATGAAACCAAACCCAGGTGGGGACGGCAGGAGGCATGGCATCTGCTGGCCCCTCCCCACGGCTTTTACCACAACAAGCCAGAAGGACCTGGCCCCGAATGACCAAAGGACCCCAAGAGGACACCCAAGGACTGACCCTACTCTGAGCAGCACAAATCTACACCTAACAGATATGTTTTTCCAAGAAACTAAGTTACGGAATAACTGATACTGACTCTGTATTAATACTATGATTCAAAACAAGTCCCTTACCTTTGGAGTCCGTTTCCTCATCTCTAAAATTAGAATAGCGATATTTACAACGTCTAATAGCAGTTGTTGTAACTATGTCTAAAAATATAAAAGGACATACTACGTAATTACTTACGACAGACTATTTGAAAGGCCTGAACTGTGTGCATGTAGGCACTGTACCTTTTTCATACACGTGGCTTTTTGTGTATTTCCCCTCCATTCTTTTTTGCAGTAGTCCATGATGTCCATTTCAGGAGCTACACTTAATCTGACTTCTGTTGAAGAATCAAAAACAGGGGTGGGTAATGAAACAAAGCACAATCAAAACAACAGACAGCTTTACTCAGAGGTTACTTCTTCTCTCACTTCATTCCAAAAAGACCCAGAATCCCCCCAACCTCCCATCATCACCTCACTCCTGGATAACCTGGAGGTGTTCCAGTGGGCCTCCCTCGTCACCATACCTCACACTCCACACAGCAGCCAGACACTTCAAACTTGAGTCAGACAACAGCCATCACCCCCGGGTTCTGAGAGCTCCAGAACCCCCTGAGTGGAATGGATGTCCTTACTTCCTACCAAGGCCCTTAGGTCCCACCCCCGCCCCACTGCGGCGTCTCTGGCCCCTGCTCCCACCCCACCTGCGGCCTCGCCTGTACTTTTCCGACACACCTGTGGGCCTCCGTCGCTCCCTACCTACCAGTCTCTGCTCAAATGTCACCTAACACCCCTAGGTCCCAACGCCCCCCGCACACCTTCACTCTATTCCCCTTCCGCTGTTTTGTTCTTCTTGGCACTGATTAACACCTGACGTATTTCTTTTTCTGCATTCCTCCCCTGAACCCCCACACATACCCGCACCCACAGACACAATAAGGCATAATTCCTTGACGGCAAGGGCTTATTTTGTGTCTCAGCTGTGATCTTAGCACCTGGCATTGCACTGCCACAGGGTGTCCTAGAATACTGTTCTAATCAAATTAAATGTGCACGTCTCAGCCGTGAAAAAATACATCTACTGGTTTTTAATTAGTTTTTAGATCCATTATACAAAGAGATAACAGCTACTTTAACAAAAACTGTATCTGTCTTTATTTATTTATACTCTGCCTGATCCCAAAAGGCTGTAAAGCTGCTGACAATAAGCCAGAAGCTAACGGAGCTCTCAATGTTAGCTGAACCACGGACCTCATTTGACTCGAACGATACGTTAAAAATACGACTTGCGGGCGCCTGGGTGGCGCAGTCGGTTAAGCGTCCAACTTTAGCCCCGGGTCACGATCTCGCAGTCCATGAGTTCGAGCCCCGCGTCGGGCTCTGGGCTGATGGCTCAGAGCCTGGAGCCTGTTTCCGATTCTGTGTCTCCCTCTCTCTCTGCCCCTCGCCCGTTCATGCTCTGTCTCTCTCTGTCCCAAAAATAAATAAACGTTGGAAAAAAAAAAAAATACGACTTGCAATCAGACAAATTATATAATAAAAAATGGCTTTTAGATTTGCCTTATTTAAAATATAAGGTATGGGTTTGATTTGTGGTATACATGTATGCACACGCATGGGTGTGTGTGTTTTAGGAAGAAAGTGAAGGAAATTCTCAGGCACATCTCGATCTCCTTTTTAAATTATTGAAGAAGTAAACGTCAGCGAGGAGATTAGGATACAAACACAGAAGTACCTTACAAGGTATTTACTCTTGAGGAAGGAGTAAATTAAAAACACACTCAGCCCAATTCAACAAACATTTACTGAATGTCTAACATGTGCCAAGCACTGAGCTGGAAACCGGGGTCACGAAGGCCGTTAAGACCCGGACTCTGTCCTGAATGGGTCTGTAGACGGAAGAAGAAAAGACCACAGGAAGAAGAAAAGACACAATCCAGGGTGTGATGGGTAGAGGCATGAGTAAGGAACACAAAGTCCTTTCTGCAGATAACATACATACAATTCTCTGTGGCCTAAGTCAGGACCGGCTTAAACGTAAACACACCTTGGGGCGCCTGAGTGGCGCAGTCGGTTAAGCGTCCGACTTCAGCCAGGTCACGATCTCGCGGTCCGGGAGTTCGAGCCCCGCGTCAGGCCGTCAGGCTCTGGGCTGATGGGTCAGAGCCTGGAGCCTGTTTCCGATTCTGTGTCTCCCTCTCTCTCTGCCCCTCCCCCGTTCATGCTCTGTCTCTCTCTGTCCCAAAAATAAATAAACGTTGAAAAAAAAAAAAAAACATTTAAAAAAAAAAAAAAAAAAAACGTAAACACACCTTGAAGCATAACACACAGACACCACACTTCTCGATGCTGCACAGCCAATCCTCAAATGCAGACCCATCGGTGCTTAACTTCAAAAACCATTTTTTGAGCGTCTACGCAGTGGAGGGAAGAGTTCCTCGTATCTGCCTTCTCACTCACCTCCCCACAACGTACAAGGAACTGCAAACATTCAGAGTTGAGGACACTGACTGGGCCACAATTTTCCACCAGGCAGTGTTGTGAGCCTGTCCGGACAGCACACGTCCAGCTCAGGAAGGACATCGTGGGAACAAAGTCCAGCCTTCCTGCTCTCCCAGCCCGCGTTCCTCGTTCCTGCCCACACCAGCGAAAGCCCTGGGCCCCGGGCAGGGTGGGCCTGGTCACCGGCCCAAAACCAAGAGGAGGAGGAGGAGACCTCACGAGATCGAGAGGACAAGTCACAGGCCACAACCCTGTGCTGAACGAGAGGCCTGCGGGAGGCAATGGGGGTTGGGAAAGGGAGGACGCACACGGCTACCAGCACCAAAATGACACTCTAAGTCCCGTCCTGCAGCTGTTCTTGGGAGGAAGGCTCCAACAACCTCCGCACGCCCTCCTCTAGGACAGGAGCTAGAGGCACAGGACAGGCAGTGCCTGACCTCAAGCAGCTTGCTTTCTTTCTTTCTTTCGTTAACTGCAAACTACAGACTCGGTTACTATTTCCAAGAACGAACATTGTTTTTTAAACGTTTGTTCATTTCTGAGAGAGAGCACGCACCAGCGGAGAAGAGGCAGAGACAGACGGAGGATCCAAAGCAGGTTCCATGCTGACGGCACAGAGCCTGATGTGGGGCTTGAACTCCCAAACCGTGTGATCGTGACCTAAGCCGAAGTCTAAGACGCTTAACCAAATGAGCCACCCAGGAGCCCCAAGAAAGAACATTTCAAATGGAAAAAAAAAAAAAAAAATCCAAAGGAGAAACTGAAAACTAGGTGATAACCAGGAGCTCAAATAACCAAGAGGTCTGGTCCTAACCCCCATACGGTAACAAAGACAAGGAGTCAGAACCTGGAAAGATGGGCACTTAAAACTGAACTTCAGAAAGCTGGGACTCTCAGTCAAAGGGCAGGCTAGGGCAAGAATCACACTTTTTCTGTAACGGGCTAGAAAATAAATAACGTAGGCTCTGAGAGCCGTAAGGTTTCTGACACAATTACTCAACTTTACCATGTGTGAAAGCCATCACACACACTATGTAGACTAAGAAATTCCAGTAAAACTTTATCAAACTAGGCGGCACATCGGATTTGGCCAGGGAGCCATAGTTTGCCAGCCCCAGGGCCCTTTTGTTAATGAAAGGTGTTTTCACTAATAAAGAGAGAGCAAAAGAAAACTTTCTGCATTCGTCCGGGCTCTGGCTTGGGAAAGAGGAAGTCTCCCAGAGAATTCATAATCACAGGCTGGCTCTCATACAGGGACAGGGCGGGAATTCAGATTAGCCCCAAGACCCTGGAAATTCAAGTTTAGAAATTAACATAATGTGGCCCAAGGTTGGTGGCACCCCGGGTGCCTAGCGGGAACAAGGCCAAACTCTCTCACACTCGAGGCAGGGCGCATGAGCCCTATACAGAAATGCAAAATCTGAGCTTGCAATTCAAACTTCGAAGAAACAAGCAAAACTAGCACAGGGCATAATTAGACCTGCTAAGATTTTCAGGGAATGAACTGTTCAGATCCAGAAGACTATGTTTTAAATGCTTAAAGAAATAAAAGGAGTAAGAAACATGAGCAAAGGGCAAAAAACTATCAAAAAGAGACCAGGCAAACCTGAAGGGAAGACAGAACTTTTTAAAAAAGAAACATTTTATTTTCAAATCTCTACACCCAATGCGGGGCTTGAACTTACATCCACAAGATCAACAGTTGCACGCTCTACTGACTGGGCCAGCCAGGCGCCCCCAGAACTTCTCCAAAAAAGAAAGAAAAGAAAAGAGATCCCAAGAAATAGTACAGGATGGAACAGGGGCTACAAGAAAAAAATCTACAAAAGGGCACGTCATGAAGAGCTTGGATGACTGAAGGAGGCCAGCACACACCTACTTAGAGTTCTGGAAGGAGTGAGCAGAGAGAATGAGAAGAAGACAATATTCAAGAAGATAATGGCTGAGAATTCTCCCAAACTGATGCAAACTAGGCATCTAGGGATTCACAAGGAAGAAGACCTCAAGCAGTGCGTTTTTAAAAGTCCACCCTTCACAGACATCAGAAAGAAACTGCAGAAAAACACGACACATTATCTACCAAGGGTTGGTGTGACCGCAGTACTGCCACTCCCCCAGAAACGACAAGACAACGGGATAGTCCTCAAAAAGGTCACAGAAAACACCTGATCATCTGGAGTTATTCAACAACAAAGTGAAATAGAGAAGTTTTCCAGCAAACAGAGCATCCTACCAACAGACCCTTCAAGAGGCACTTCCCAAGGATCTTCTTTCAGGAAGGGCAACGAACCCAGAAGGACTGAGATGCAGGAAGGAGTGTAAAGGGATCCACTCCGGCCTCGGACTAAAGCTGGAAATGACACAGTTCACTGAAAAGCTAGAACACCCGCAGCATGTGGAGGGCTACGCTGGCGGTCAGAGTCGAATCACCGCAAAGCAAGCCAGCGGGCCCCGCAAATGCAGCAGGGACACCCAATGACGAAGGAACCGCTTGCTCCTCAGGAATACGAGTAACCAGGAAGGCCTCTGCATCCAAAGTGAATCGTGTGCAGCGGCAGCAGCAGAAACAGAGCACCTGCAGAAACTTCACGGAGGACGGAGCAGTGTGGCCAAGGAATGGCCCCTGAATGGACGCCTACAGAGAACGTCTTCGAGAGCTAGCACGGTAAAGAGGTCCACCAACTCCTTGTGAGGACAACTCAAGGAAGCCTTGAACATGATCAAAAACCCCGCTTTGTATCATTTGTTCCTAATCACGCACATGACAATTATTTTTGTTAACCATAAAGTACACAGCAGTTAGTTCTCAAAACCGACCGGCAGCACACTCACATGACACAGGTCATGAGAGAGACGGTGGCGCTGGTGGATCGTTTATGGAGCATCCCCCCAGTGGAGCACCCCCACTCGGCCCCAGCGGGGACCAGCCAGGGAAGGCCCTGCCGGCCATGCGCCCAGCGGAGGAGGCCAGGGGTAAGGCCTCACCCTAGCGGCAACGGGCCCGTGGGTTCTGGGCGCGGTGAGAAGAGCAGGCATAACTGAGCAGAAACACGGACAAAAAGTCATGAAACAATCAGAGGATTCGGGCTACTGATCCCGTGATCGTTCTTTCTCACAAGCCAGTGGCATCCACGTGGCCACCTGCATGCCAAGACGCATGGAGCCAGCTTCTCAAGAAGTCCTTCTGCTGGAAAGGAAACGTGCATTTCAAATCCAAACTCTCCCTCTAAGAATATGAGGGAAATCATGAATGAGGGAGGTGGCGTCACGAGATTAAGCAAATCCGCACGCTGCGAAAATGATACGAATGTAGAGAACGCAGGGAGAATATTGGCATGAAATTTTTAAAACCTCAGGAACCGGTACTCCCCAAACATACCTCAGCAAAATGGATAACGAGACGCAGCTAAGGCCATACGCAGAAGAATGTTTCCTAGGAAGCACGTCTCAGTATTTTATGGAAACGGATACAGCGATTTAACTGCATTTTCTACTATAAATAGTAAGAAGTCTATGAATAAAACAATTCCAAACATACCTGATAACCCTCTTTCATGTATAAGTAATTCTTTCTCCTTTTCTATTTCATCCGCGTCACGATACATGTCCTCCTCACTGAAATCACACCAAATTAGACATTTCAAAAATTTGTTGCACTGACATTTTCCCTCTTATTACAGTATGCGCTTGCTTAAAAAATCTGTAAGACACGAAAAGTTTAACTTTTTCCTGTTACGTGATGATGACTGAGAAAGTGTGGCTCTCAAATCCTGGTTGCACATGTTGCTATCACTCCACAATTTATGTCACAAGCAAATTTTACAAACACTACTTTAAAAACAAGGACAGGAAAACATCAGTTATTACACGTCCTCAACGCTAAAAGCCCTCCCAAGGCTCCTCGGGCTCCCTGACCCCCACGCTCACGCTGCCACCCACGTCCTGTGGCGCGTATCCCTACTGGCCCACGTACTTGAACTGCTGCAAATCTGACTGACTTGGGACTTACATGACAGGTTCCTGAAGAGTCTCCAGTCTCATCTAGTGACTGAACGAGAACCTACTATGTACTAGAGAAGGAAGAAAACCCCACAGGTGCTGGACGAGGATTGAAAAAGGGTGCCTCCTTTGCCCCGCAAGATAAACCACAACCTGACAATGATGAGAAACAGAAATACCAGCTCTATCTTGGCTCAAACCACAAGACACGTGAAAGCCCCCACAGTCCCAAGGTGGACCAAGAGTAAGTGACAAGAGGACAGGACAGCCTCCATGCCGGTGGATGGTACGACCAGTAAACCCGCAGAACCCCAGAAAGGCTCAGGGACCAGAGGTGCCAAGTACTTCTCAGGGTGCAGGAGACGCCCAGAGCTGAAAACAAGGAAACTGGCTGGTGTACACATAGGGTGAAATCAGACCCCTAATTCCCTACAGTCCTCCCCCCCACCCCCCCACCCCCCGTGACAGCACAGCCCCAGTCCTCACGCCAGACAGAGGCTCCAGGTGCCAATGAATCACAGGAAGGGGTTAATAAGGTTAATGACAAGGAATTAAGCGACCGACCAGAGAAACTCCCATCCCCGGTGACCGCGGCACCCCAGCTCCCAGCACATGGCCCAGCATGGCAGGGGAAAGAGGAAGGAAGAGGTGAGCAGGAGCAAGAGACAGAAAGGGTACTGAGAGAAGCAGACCGAAGTGGGGAATTTAACAAACCCGCCTTCTCCCACGTCACTGAAACCCTACGATGGCTCCCAATAAGCAGGCAGGTCTACACGTGGACCTAACCCGCCGATCTAGCCTGCAGGCCACGATTCCTCTCCGCACAGCCACGCTTCAGTCCAAACACGGGACCAACACCAGCCTCTACTTTTACACCTATGACTGGCTCCATCCTCTCCCTCTGCTTGCACGGCTCACTGCTTAACACATCAGGACACACACAGCACGGGCGGCCCTGCCGCAGAGCACCATGGCTAGAGTGGGGGCCCGGAAGTCATGTCAGGGTTTAGCCGCTCCTTGGCACCTTACAGCCCTGTGTGTGGGACCGTGGAACTAAACTAGCTGTAACTCTCAGCACCCAGATTTAACTACCTGTGAACAATAGACAGTACTCTCCTCAAAAGACTGTTGTAAAAAGACACATATAAAACACGAGCGCTCTAAAAAGTTAGCTATTCTCCTTCTCATACTACGGCACTGGTGCAGAGTATTAATAAACGGTTTGCCCGATGGTCATTTCCTGTTCCTTTTTTTCTTTCTAAATAAAGGCGATGGTGTGTGTGCGTCCTATTTTTTAAAACACCGTGGGGCTGAGGGGACATATTAGGAAAAGGTACTTTCCATGTGCTCTGACCCCCGTGAGATTCCAAGTAAAAGGTATGGTGTCACCCAGGGAGCCCACGTCAGAGGTAAAAGCAAACAGAAACCAGATTCGCGGAGACCAGACATCAAACGCCTAAAATAAAAAGTGACTAAATATGTTAGTTCTTCTTTCAATAATTTTGTGGTAACTTCTGGCCTCCTTGCTAGCTTTATCGAACAGGAGAGAACTCGATCCTGTAAGACAAGCATTTAAGTGAACCACTTTCTTGATCATCATCAGAAGCATGTCTTCAGGCAAGCCACTTCCCTAATCTTGGCCTCCGTTTTCTCATCTTCAAAGCGAGAGGAGTAGACTAGATCCGCATGATCTACATGGTTCCTCTTCGAGGACTTAAGTTCTAACACACTATCAACCTATGTGTTGTTAAAAAAAACTGTACTTCGGGCGAATTCTGTGGCTCCGCCGCAGGCACATTTGGGTCTACTTTTGTCCTCTTCCTTTTTACCCTGCAAAATAACCAAAGTGCAATCAGGACACCAGTGCCCAGAGGAAGTTCCCTACAGGAGCATCTCTCAGGACAGCCACACGTACAAATTGGCACCAAGGCCAATAGGAAAGGAACAAGGAGAAGTCAACATGAGAACAAAATGCAAAGGGAAGACAGAGTAGAAGGAAAGATTATTGGAAATAAAAAGCAGTGAGTCAAGATACACAAAAGCAGCAAAGCAGAAACTGACGAATGGGAGGCCAGAGCACATTCAAATTACTTTAGCCACAATCAGATTTCATTCAGATCCTGCGCACAAACGTTTGCTAACGTCCCTAGCCCCCAAGGACAAGCATTCAAGGACATTTGCTAACTTCACAAAGCCACCAAGGAAATTGTAATATGGCCTTTAATTCCTTGGAGACAGAATAAATTTTAAGTTTAAGCAGTAAGTTCCATTAGTATGGTCAGAGAAGAAGATATTTAACAGCCAAAATGAAATAGTCCCCCAACATAAGGACAATCAACTGGAAAGAGAGAGAGATGTGACAGCAAGAAAAATAAAAATTTTAAGAAATTAGTTCACTCAATATATTAAAGCTGAAAATAATGGCAAATGAAGCATTTACCAATTTATTATAAATACATACGTACTATTTATAAGTGTATTATTTATTATTTATGTTTTTGTTGTATATTAATTATATTTAAATAGCTAGAAGCTTGAATTTTTGTTATGAGAAGGGAGGATAATGAAATAATGAAAAGAAAAAGGATATTACGTTGTAAGATAAAATTGTCAATGCTGGTCAGTTTCAGAAATTTGGTAATTTTTTGTGTTTATGAGTCAAGTTGGAGTAGGAATGGGGAGTGACTACCATTTGGCACTAACGAGGCCACCAAAGCCCAACGACTCAAATGATCACCACCACAAAAGCCTTCCTTCTAGAAAATATACCGATAGCTAGAAAACTAAGACAAAGTCATAAATGTGACTTGATTTTGGGGGGACCATGGCATTCGTGAATCATGCTCAATTACACAACTCAGTTAAATTTCAAAACCAAAATCCTAGTAAGTTCTACTTAGAAAATTCCTAGAAATTCTTAGTTTAGCACCATAATGTTATTTTAAAGTGTATATTTTCAAGCCCCCGTTTTCTCCTAAGCTAGAGATAAAATATTTTATTCTTAATATTAAGGCAATATACATGATTAAGTTACATGACTTTGCATACTAAATTATAATCTCTCTTGCTCTGTTTAAAGACCTGAGTTAACAATAAATTTTTGAAAACTTAATTTAAAAAGGCTTACTACAAACAGACAAAATTATACTATTGCCAAGAACAAAAGCTATAAACTAAAAATACATCGGTCAGTGAAGCAAGACATTTCTGCAAAGCCAATTTTTCAATTTCTGATACAAGTAAACAGGTTATATGGAAAAAAGTCAATTCTAACTTCTATGCAAAGCTAAGACAGCATGTTAACCACTCATTATGAACACTTGCATTAAGTTCCCCTCTGTTGCCTAAAAAGGCTAAACTGAGTATGACTTTGTTTGGCTCTCTGGACTTGAACGCTGCCGTTCATGCTTAACTTGGCCTATCCTAGAACGCCAATGGCCCAGGCAGTGTTGGTGAGACAGTGTCAACCGTGGGACAGCAATGTACCTTCCCACAAAGGCACAGGAAAAACAAAGACCACTCAACCCAGCCTCTCTCCACCACTTAGCAGCTGTAGAGATGGGTGAACAACACATCAAATGCAGGAAAGTACCGGCACCCAAGCCAAAATTCCACCTCCCTTCTGCGAGTGGACTTTCCATGACTGGCTCATGCTACTCCAGAGGTATCTGGGGACAACCCAGACATCCTCAACAATGAGGTTGGAAACAAGCTTTACATCCAGGTGGGAGAAGGGGCAGGAAGGAGTAGCTGTTACCCTATCAAACATACCCCGCAGGAGGTAAGGAGGCAGGTGGGAAAACACATAGCAATACTCAAGAACAATGGTTTAACAACTTGTTGTTCACAGCCCTTTTGAAAATTCACAGCTTCCATCAGAAGCTCAGCCCAGAAAATACACGTAAAATTTCACCTTCAATTTCAGAGGGGCTCACAGACACGCTCTCCACCACACACAGTCCGAAATTCAAACCATGTGCCACCATCAGGCGGACAAAGAAGGGCCTCGAAGTCGTCTTGCTTCTGAATTCCCTAAGCGTGTCTAGCCTGGCCACCAACCATGTCCCAAGACCATCTTGGTCCTCAAGATTACCTTAGCTAAGGGCAAGAAGTAGATACAGCCTAAGTCTTGAAATGGAGGGGTAGGGTGAGCAGGGGATAAAGCACGGCCAACCTGCTCATAGGAACAGCGAGGAAGCTTCAAGAAAAGTCAACCAAATCTGGTCTGATCTAAGACTTCTTCAAGTCAGACCCTAAGTCATCTTGTGAGCCATCCTTAAGGCCTGCCCAGAGGATGACAACCACAGCTCTCAAACAAGCTAGGAGAGGTCGTTATAAATCATGTTCCTCTGCCTGGTTTTGCTGAGAAAGCCAGAAAGAGATGGGGGTGAGGTTCCCACTGAGGCATCAGGGAACCTGGCCCTCAAACCTCTTCCGTCTCCCTGGCCGAGCTGCACCTCCGGAAGCTGCACCTGTTTCCTAATGTGTAAAATGACAAACCTAGGCTGTTTTTTTGTTTTTGGTTTTTTTCCAGATTTCTTTCAGACCAAGTCTGTAATTCTGACAGCAGTAAGAGGTGTGCCTCAAAACCTTTTGGGAAAGAGTGCTCCTCACCATGACCTATTTCCCCAGGTTCTGACTCAGGAAACTTGCCAAATAATTATGCATACTTTCAGGAACATGATTCTGGCTCCAAAGTTCCTGCATCTCACGGGGGCATGAGAATGCTGGGGCCAAGGCTAAGGTGCAGCTTCTGGGGGCAGGGTCTTTAACCAGGGAGTCACGGCTCAGACCACCAGGGCAAAAGCAAGGAGGAGCAGTTAGAAACCAGCATGAGCTGTGGAGGGGCAGAAGCAGAAGGCACCCCCACCTCCCCCAGCCTACTTTACCCTCTGCAGAGTCTGCAGTAGTTCTCCAACCCAGAGAGCAAACCTGCAGCCAGAGAGCACATCAGCTCACACGTGGGTCTGTAGAGCAGTTTCAATTTTAAAAATCAAGGTATTCCATTAAAAAGTCAGGGTACTGGGATTCTTTAAATACAGAAAATCCAGCAAGCAGAGGATAGAACCTAGTGGACTCTGACCCCAACAGCAATGGACACAGCTATCCAGGAACCAATGGCCCACACCTGGCCAGCCTCACTCACTTAGGTTACCTGCATAGCTCCTGGGGTGGGGGAGTTTGCGACTGCCTATTGCAAAGCTTTCCCAATAGCCATTAACACATTAAGTGTGGATACTACCATCCCAGAGGGTTTAGATGCTCAATAAATGAGAATGTCAACGCCCATGATAAAGAACCAGGCACAGGAAAGTTTTATTATAATACACTAACTGTATACCAGGCCTGCCAAACACCCCTTTTTAGGAAATGCCAAAAAAAAAAAAATCTAATTTGAACACTTACAATTCAACTTGCCAGCCAATTAAGCTGTCAAAATAGTTATCTGAGTGCTTTCATCAATTCTGAAATTCAAAGACATTTATATGTGCCTAGAACCTGAAAGTGTAGAAAAAGTTGCAGCCTTCAAGTTTACACTTCGCTTCCACCTTCCCCCCAGACCCTTGCTAAAACTATACTCTTCCAACTTAAGCTGCCTTCTTTATAGTTCGCTAAAAAACTGCTCTAACCAGCACTATCTCTCGTGCTTAAAAGTAACGGGGGTGGGGGTGGGGAGGAGGAGAGCTTGTTAAGCTACTAACGGGCAAAAGAGAATTGGGTCAGACTCGGTCCAAAGTCTATTCAACAGGTGGGGCGTTCATCAAGCGGCAACTTGCCTTCCAAGAACAAACTTGTCGCATGGTTCAGTTTTCTCTTGGCCGTGATAGAAGCAACCTTACTTCCTTCCCCAACTAGGTCGGAGGAAAGATTCACTGGGAGTTAGTTATAACAATACGCTTTTCCGGTTTGTTTCCCAAGTTCCCGGAGCTCTGTTTTAACTTTGGAGCAACGCAGATGTAAAAACAGAGGGCACTGGGTGACCAGGACTGTGAGCCGGACCCTGCGGGGAAACCATCTGTACGGACACTGGATGCAAGTGTCTTCGAATTCCTCTCCGTCGCCGACGACCTTACCCCGAATACAGGCTGCGAAGGGCTCTTAGCCGGCTACTCCCCAGCCCACCCCACGCCCAGCGTTCCCGAGGGGACCGACCCAGAGCCCCCGCCCGCCCCCGCTGCGCCCCGCGACTCACTGCTCGGCTGAGCACCGCACCGCGGTCCGCGGCTGCCCGCCGGCCGCCGCCTTCCCGCCCTCCCGCGCCGCGGCTCTCGCGGGGCCCGGGGACGCGGCCCCCGCCTCCCGCGCCGGCTCCTCAGCACAGCTCGCGCCCGGCCACGATCCGGGCTGGGGCATGGTGCCCTGATTCATCGGGCCGCCGCCGGTGGCGGCGACGCCGGGGTTCGGCCGCCTCCCAACGATCCGGGGCCCCTCCCGTCGGGGCGCCCGGCCGTGCCGCCGCCGCCGCTGTACCGCCCGCCGGCTTCCGAGGCTGCGCAGAACGCTTCCGCACGCGTCACCGCCGCCGGCCCCGAGCCCTCTGACCCGCGATGAGGGGGCGTGGCCCGCTAGGACTGGGTGGGCGGGGAGCCCTTCGACGCGGCGCCTGAGCTTGCGGCTGCGCGGGCTGAGCCGCGGTCGAGTGGAAGACCTGCATGGGGTGGACACTGCGCATGCTCCACACAGCTGGTCCAAGCTGGGGTTCCCCGCGCGTCAGGTTTGCCGTGGATGTTGCGGCCCTTCCGGGGCGTGAAAGGAGGGGAAGAACACTGAACCAGCGGAGGAACGCGAGGACGAGGAAGGCCAGCCTGGGGTGTGAAGAATGCTAATGCGTTTGGGCGCCTTGCAGTGTCATTCTGGACTTCCGAGCCGGGCGGGGTTTCCTTGGCCATAAAACGAAGGATGTGGGCAGACTGAGTGATGTGCGGCTCGCCTGGCCTTCCCCGAGTGACAGCTCCGTCACGACCCGCCCCCGAGCCCGGAGAGCTTTGGTCTTGGGCGTGGGGTCAGGCTTGTTGCTCCGGGGCTGGGAGTTACGGTCCCTCGTCTCTGCGAGGGCGGGAGGCTGAACTGGTTCTACCCGAGTTGAGCAAGCTCGGCAGTGTGTGTTCATGGGCCGTATTCTCTAAAGTGAAGTTTAATCTGTTTCAGATTCCGTGTCTCCCTCTCTCTGCCCCTTCCCCGCCCATGCTTTGTCTCTCAAAAATGAATAAACGTTAAACAAAAAATTAAAGTGAAATCTGATGTAAGGGAATA